TCTTGATAGTTATCCAGAGTTCATAATGTGTTCCACGTATCCATGCTATGCAAATACAACTCGGACCCCTCACACATCCTGTCCTACGAGCTCATTTCACTCCAAGAGGATCTATCTTATAAGGAGGTGCCGGTAGGCATTGTATACTGAAAGAGTAGAGTACTTCGCAACTAAAAAATTCCCTTCATCAAGATCCTATGGCAGAACCATGCGCAAGAAGAGGCTACTTGGGAATTGGAATCAAGTTTCAGGGCCCAGTACCCCCCAGCTGTTCGACTGAGTGAGAGAATGAGAAATTTGAGTGACCAAATTTTCTTAAGGATGGGAGAATTGTAATACTTGTACTCGAAAAGTGGCCTATGATAATTTTTTAATACTTGTACTCGAAAAGCGGCCCATAATAATTTTTTATTATTAAATTATTTAATTTAATTTATTTTTTTTAATTGATATTTTGAGAAAAAATGAATTAAGGATGAGATTGAAAATAATTTTAGAAAAAAGTAGTGAAAATACGAGTTTGAGGGGTATTTTTGAAAAACAAATTAAAAACAGGGGGTTAAAGTGCAAAAAAAAATGATCACGTGAGACGGCTTAGTCAGTAGCCTCGACGAACTGGAGCACGCCACGTGTCAAAACATACTGATGTCGACGCCACGTGGGAGGCCACGCAAACGATCTGCGTGCCTAGTGATCTAACGACCCATGTTTGATCTTGCGCACATGAACGACTCAGATTCGTTCCCTCCTTAGCGCGATCGGATGGATGAGATCAATCACGATAAACGGTTCAAATTCGTTTCCTCCTTAGACGTGATCAGATGGATGAGATCAATCACGATGAATGGTACAGATTGATGTGGGATGGGTATAAATACCTCGTATCGCATGAAAACCCAAACCCTAGCCACCAACTCCCGTCGGAAAAGGAAGCCGACTGCCGACCACCGGCGCATTACAGCCACCGCTAACTGCAAAAAAAAGGTGAAATTTTCTCCTACCAGCTAGAAATTTGATTTCGAGCATCCCTATGGCCAAATTGAAGCAAGCGGGATGGTGGGTGAGCCGAAAACTGCGAGCAAAGCCTAACGAAGCTGTCACGGCCGAAACCCAAAAATTCCTCCGATGAGTGCCTTCCCCCTTCCCGTTTCACGTAATTTTTTGATTATTGTATTCACCATTTTTTTATGCAGGTTAGCCGAAGAAGGAACCCCAACCGTGAAGGAGGACCAACGGAGCCCTGCACCTAGAGACCCGCCCCCCACAGATAGGTTCGATTTTTTGACTAACTGAGGCCCTCTAACGTATTTTTCTGTAGAAATACATGTAAAACTAGCCAAAACAAGTCAAGCCAAGGCGAACCGCTGCTGTGGGCGGCGGAGCCAATGTCGGAGCACAGCGGCACCGCCATGCAAGAACCCTAAAATTGGCCGAAAAGAGTTTTAAATACCGATTTTAGATTTTTAGAGTATTTTTAGGTACGTGATAAATATTTTGGATTCCGCAGAAAAAATTCAGAAAACTCGATACCCATTATAGAGGCATGGTAGACAGCGCGACTTCTCGAAATACTAATCCGGGTAAGGATACCTCACTCTATTCTCCGTTACAATAAATTGAGGCTTAAATGATGTATAATTTTATGTTTTATAAAAATTTAAAAAATTCTAAAAATAATTATAAGTCATTAGTGAAGTCAGAACCAGTTAGTTCACAATTGTCTTGATTTTTTGTTTATTTTTCTGTACTGTCCTACTTACTTATTATTGTATTGTGCATGTTCTTAATTTATAGTTTCAAAGATCTTATTGGTTATCTAGTTTATTCGGTTATCTGGTTTCTCGATCCCCTGTTATGATAAGCTACATCGTTTGCATAAATGTAGTCTAATTGATCTGTAAATATAATATGTGATATTGATATGCGTTTGTTGGTTATTTTGCTTGATGAAAATTTTTATGTGAAAGACTAACTAGGTACCCAGGAAAAGGGCAAACGAGTCTGGTACATAAGGAACCCTACCTAAACGTCACCTCAGTCGGACGGAGCTGGGAAGTCTTATACTGGAAAGATTTGGGAGATATAGTTCACCCTCATACCGGACGGAGTATCGAACCGATGAAATGTTTGGCACCCATTACTGGACGGGGTATGGAGGAGCCGGTTAATTGTTAAAATTGAATATTGAGGTTCACGAGTAGGGGGACATCTTTATGGACCACCAAGGGCACCAGTAAGCAAGTAAGAAAGGAAAATTATCGTCATTTATTCTTTTATGTGTGAAATTAAAAAGTAGTATGGATATGCGTCTTCATAAGTTGTTTTTGAAAAATTTGTAACGGTATATATCAAACAAACGTCTTTATGTTAAACATATTTAATTAAAGTAAGGATTCCATTAGTTATTTTTCTGAGTTTTACCAATCTTCAATCTTTCGTATCTGTGATTAGTGTGATATTCTTACTGTACTAGTATAACTAACCATTTCATTAAATATTTCAGATTAAGAAGACTAAGATCCAAATTTCAATCAATAAGAGGGTTGTGAGTAGTTCCCACCCGAACTCTCTTCAATTGCTACTGAAGGTTGTCTTAGGATGCTTATTTATTCGTTTTTTCTTTAATTACAGTTTGTCTTTTAGAAATGATATTCTCGTATCTCTATTGGACATTCTAAATTATTGTATGAAGAATGTAAACTCTAACTCTATTATTTGCTTCTACATTTAAATTATAAATTCATTTTCTTTAAGGTTCCGGACCTTTACAGTCCTATTTGGAGGAAGACTTGAAAGGGAAATAGATTTGTGAACTAT